TAAACAGTAAGAAAACATTAGAGACAATTAGAAATGAACTATTCACAATTAATTATTTCTCTTGAGACTGAGAAATCATACTTTGAAGATAAAGTACACTTTTCTGTTCCCTCTTAATTAATATAACTTCTAAGACAGAAGTCTATTTTTGGAGTTTGTTTAAGACATAATCCAATTCTAAAATCAAAAACATATCCATCATTACACATTGCACATCCCACCTAAATATTATCATCTCCATTGAATTAATTGAAGTTCAGATAAAGAGTTGTTAATTTCAAATCATCAACCACATATTCAAAACAATAAATGCAATTTTCAATAGAGCATTTTTTGCATTCCATTGTTGATGATATGTAATACGGTGATAAACAATTATTTTCTTTTAACTTTCCTGGAGAAACCATGGTACACTAACCATCTTCTAATTTCGAGAATTCCTCACAATAAAGACAGATTTATCCTGTTATTAAATAGCACAAGTCGTGCAGTATTCAATTCTGCATTTTGAACATTATTAACCTGAAATTTTAGAAAGACAAAATGAATTAAATAATTCCTATTTCTTAGCTATATCTTAATTTATATTCTCCTAATTTGTAAGACTTGATTGTTAACATTCCAAACAAAGTTCAAGGTTAACACCATTAAAAATGAAATAGGGTTTAGCTGCAAATTAGTAATATATTTATTCTAACGAAGTCGTTCTTCCATCCTGATTTAGGTACACAAATGTATTACAAAATGGGTTATCGTACCAATCTTTTGGATTTTAAACACATTCAAAACAAGTTGTAATTTATGAATTTATTTATCCTGGACTAATATTTTAATTATTAAAAATTACCATTGATAACATAAGCCATTAAGCTCAAATTGTCCATACAAACACTCATCATTTTATTCTTCACCTGAAATTAACTAAAAGCCAAAATCAGGATAGCCTAAACATTAATCATCATGATCAACAGTATCTTATGGACATATACACTATTTATATTCTGGAAAATATATTCTTTTTGATTCTATGGAACAAGATATACAATCTTGATAAGTTGGACCATCACATTCTCCACATGAAATGTGGCAATTTTGTTATTAAAAATCTTTATTACAATTAAAAAAATATAGATTCCTACTTATAATATTTAGATAATTATTGGTGGACTTTTGTAAATTGCCTAAAAAGAGCTTAAAATATATTTAATGAAATTGCTTAACAACAATTGATGTCTTATACTCGTAAATTTACCTATTCTCAAAAAATTTAAGATTGACAGAAAATTCTTCTCTTTCTAATTTTACATATAGGAGATGCCATAACTACATATTGTTCAAAATCTGGAATTCTTTGGTTATTAAAAATGGGTCTTTTGTAAAATCTAAAGTGATGGATGGATATGTGTAACTATATGTTGTGATAATTATTGTATTTAGATTTTTTGAAAGCTGGTAAAATAGTTATAAAGGAGATATATTTTGGTTCTAAAATAAATTATTTTACACATTTGAAGTCAATTTAATAAATTAATATGTAAGAACATTATGAGTTTGAATTATTTCATTAATCTTAAACCATCCAGTAAATGTAAACTAATCGCAATTCTGAAATCTTGAAGTATAAATTGATGTAATAAGATTAACATAATCTTGGTTAATTAAACTACTTATAGGATTGGCTACACATGTACATTTCTCCCAAGGTTCTCCTAAGTATATTGCAGAATCGACAAAATCAACAACAGAACCTGATAAATCAATTGCCTTAATTTTGCCTGGGAATGAAGCGAATTTATCTCCATTGGCAATATTGAGTAATTTTGAATCTACAACTACAAGATCACCTCCAATTTTTAAAATTGTCCTTTAATCTTTTAATGGTAAAACATTCAAAATGTCATTTTTCAAAATTTCTTCATTTTTAATAAGTAATATTTAAAATCTATTTTCTTACGGAAATAATATGAATTCAAAATAATACCACTAATTTTCATATTCAAATACGTTTATGCTTATTTCAAAATTATATTATTAATCATCGTTACCCATAAATTTGATATATTTAGTGATGGTCATTTACTCATGATCTTAACAATCATAATATAACATGTTTAAAGTTTAAGAGTATTTCCCTACAGAGCTAAATAAATGAAAGCAATTGCTATCTAGGATCCCAATAGATTGTACCTAAATGGTTGAAATCAAGGGAAGGTATTAAAACCAAGCACCTTGTCTTAATATTGCCTCATCTTCATATTATTCTTCTAAAATGTCAAATTCCTTGACAACAAATGGCTCATCAGGATTCAAGATAAGTACAAAATCTGTTAATACAGTTTTTACATATAAGGCAAGAAACAGAGCTATTGTCATCTATCAATTTTCTCAAAATAATTTATGAGCATTTTTGTCACCAAAATTTTACAAGAATTGAAGATTCTAATTCAAAACTAAATATCTTATTTTAAAAATTAAACAAATTCTGAAAATAAACAAGTATTCAATGGATTGGTTTGAATAAGCTTGATGATTTAAATAATATAGTCCCATAAACTCCTTTTTATATTGAGTAATTTCATTGAATTTAAAGTAGTAACATTTTATATTACGAATTTTTTGAATAATTATCCAACCACACAGAATACTCGATTGACTTTAGATTTGCTTTTATTTTAATAAATTGCAAACCCTAGCAGAAGTGAATGAGAATTAGAAATTTATTTCATGTACCCTTTTTAATTACTCAATTAAATTTTATTGTGTTTAAACAAATTACAATAGAAAGTCTTTTTTTTGAACTTTAAAATAATATGATAGGGGAATGGAGCTTAATCAATATTTTAGATAGCAACAATGTTCTAAACATAAATTAACGGAAAATAATTATTTTTTTCAAATATTCACAGTCCAACCTCTTATTAGGGCCTATTTTTATTTTTCATCCTTATTAGTTAATACTTTAAGTTTTTTCGATGCTCTGAATCCATTAAATTCCTACACGTTTAATTGGTAATTAAACTAGTTGAATGAGTATTAATCTATATGAAAATTCAATTTTAAACGGCCTCTTCCTTAATATTTAGTTCTTTTTAAATTCTATTTTCTAATAACTAAGGCCCTATATAAATTTGATCTTATATTCCTTCTGATATTTTGTGAGAAAATCATTAAAATAAATTCAATGGAGCGGTACAATACAAAATAATTTGTTGAAAAAGAAAAATAGCTAGTAAGCCTTCTCGATATTGATATTCTTTAATAAATATGTTTATAGATCAATTACTTTTGCCCTAATTGTTAACATTTATCTAATTCATATTTGGCCAAAACTTTAAAGAACCTTTTTATATCATCACATATTAGAATTGGTGATACTATTTCATCATTTGAAATATCATTTCTTTAACATTTAAGTTTCAGATTTAAATATCTTTCCTGGAGAAGGCATGGTACAAATACCATCTTCTAAACTCGAGAATCCCTTACAATAAAGACAGGTTTATCCTGTTATTAAAATTGCACAAGTCGTGCAGTATTCAATTCTGCATTTTGAACATTATTAACCTGAAATTTTAGAAAGACAAAATGAATTAAATAATTCCTATTTCTTAGCTATATCTTAATTTATATTCTCCTAATTTGTAAGGCTTGATTTTTAACATTCCAAACAAAGTTCAAGGTCGACACCATTAAAAATGAAATAGGGTTTAGCTGTAGATTGGTAATATACTTATTCTAAGGAAGTCGTTCTTCCATCCTGATTTAGGTACACAAATGTATTACAAAATGGGTTATCGTACCAATCTTTTGGATTTTAAACGCATTCAAAACAAGTTGTAATTTATGAATTTATTTATCCTGGACTAATATTTTAATTATTAAATTACCATTGATAACACAAGCCATTAAGCTCAAATTGTCCATACAAACATCCATCATTTTATTCTTCACCTGAAATTAACTAAAAACCAAAATCAGGATAGCCTAAACATTAATCATCGTGATCAACAGTGTCTTATGGACATATACACTATTTATATTCTGGAAAATATATTCTTTTTGATTCTATGGAACAAGATATACAATCTTGATAAGTTGGACCATCACATTCTCCACATGAAATGTGGCAATTTTGTTATTAAAAATCTTTATTACAATTAAAAAAATATAGATTCCTACTTATAATATTTAGATAATTATTGGTGGACTTTTGTAGATTGCCTAAAAAGAGCTTAAAATATATTTAATGAAATTGCTTAACAATAATTGATGTCTTATACTCGTAAATTTACCTATTCTCAAAAAATTTAAGATTGACAGAAAATTCTTCTCTTTCTAATTTTACATATAGGAGATGCCATAACTACATATTGTTCAAAATCTGGAATTCTTTGGTTATTAAAAAAGGATCGTTTGTAAAATCTAATTTAACTGATGGAAATGTATAACTATAAGTTGTAATAATTATTGTATTTAGGTTTTATGAAAGCTTGTAAAATAATTATAAAGGAGAGAGATTTTCATTTTACAATTAATCATTCTACATATTTGAAGTCAATTTAATAAATTAAAATGTCATTTCTGAGTCGGTTTGAATTATTTCTTTAATCTTAAACCATCCTGTAAATAAAAATTAATTGCAGTTCTAAAATTTTGAAGAATAAATTGATTAGTAGAGAGAAAAATAATCTGAATCCATTAAATTACTTATTGGATTACTTTCACACTTACAGGCTTTCCTAGACTTTACTAAAGAAATAGCAGCCTAAACAAAGTTTTTAATCGTAGAATCACCTTAAATTGGAATCACTCTGCCTGGAAATGTGGCAAATTTATCGCCATTAGCAATATTGACTAGTTTTGAATCTAATACTACCAAATCACCTCCAACCTATTAAATTATAATTTCATCTTGAAATGGTAAAACATCCAAAATTTCATTTTTGATGACTTCTTCATTTTTGATTAATATTATTTAAAATCTATTGTTATATGGATATAATATGAATTGAAAGAAGTACCACTAATTTTCATATTCAAAAATACTTATATCGAATTCATAACTGTATTGTTAATTATCGCTACCTATGAATTTTATAAATTTTGTGATTGACTTTTATTCATAATCTAAACAATCATAATGTAAAAAATTTAAACTTTTTGATTCTTTCCCTACCGAACTAAATAAATGATAGCAATTGCTATCTAACATCCCAACAGATATAGCATAAATTGTAGAAGTTAAGGGAAGGTATTAAAACCAAGAGCTCTGTTTATATACAACTCCTTCCCTAATAATTGCTTCTATGATTGAAAATTCTGTTAGAATGTATGGTTATTCAGGACTTAAAATATACACATAATCGGATAATACAGGTTTAAGAAAAAAGGACAGAATAAGGACCATTTTCATATTTAATTATTTCTAAAATAAATTATGAATTTTGTGGCCAGAATACTAAAGTTAAAGAAAATTCTAATTAATGTCATCAAATTTAAAGAGACTCAAAAAAAATTAATTAGATGATATTATTTGAGAAACCTTATGTTTAAATGATTTCAATTCTCCTTTTATATTTTTTGGTAATTTCCTTTTAAATTAAATAAATTATTTATTATAACTAACATTATTAATCAAATAAATTTTAATTCTCTCATATTTTTGAATGAGTTGAAATTTGCCACAATATTATTTATTGCAATGAAGGGTAAAATGAGGAGGGTGACGTTGAAAAATTTTTAATATAACTTAATAAATTACCCAATTAATGATTATGTATATATTAAAATTAAAAATAGAAACCTATTTTTTTTAAATTAAAACACTCAAATAATAGAAATATGTAGGGGTTAGAAAATCATGATATGATGTAAAGATTATACTTTCTTCAAATTGTTACAATCCACGTTCTTATCATCATTGGACCAACTTCATCATCCTTATATTAATATGTTTATTTTTTTGGATAACTATCGCTCCATTCTAAATTATAAAAATCATCTACTTAATCGATTAAGCTTCCACATCTTTAAATCCTAATTACCAGTCAAAGTTGTTTCTAAGAATGATAATCCTTAAGGGAAATTTAGTTTTTAAATACCCTCTTCCTTCATATTGTGAACTCTTACTAAATATTAATCTTTTTATAACCAAGGCTCAATGTATAATTTACTCAAATTTGTATCGGATTATTTGATTAAAAATCCTTAAAATAAATCCAATAGAGCAGAATATTGTATAAAAGGTTAAGTTGAAAAATAGAGTAAAGGTTATAAATCCTATTTATATTGATATTCTCTTAACAGATTTGGTTGTTGTTGATGATTATAGAAAATGATTGTATGTGATATCATTTATCTAATGCCTACCTTTTAACCCTTATGTATTTCTTATTCATCCAAAACTTCAAACAGCCCTTTGTTATCATCCCGTACTAATCTTCTCTACAGCATTAATTCAATAACTCCTTAGGCTAAACTTGTTCCTCCTTAGGCTCTGTCATTCAGCACTGCACAAGCAGAATTTCCATCACTATTCATGATCATAATAGCACCATTGACAGGAAAATAATTACCAGCTATTTACTCTTTCATTTTTATGTTCCATGAATCCCTGTGATTTATTCTTCGTTTTTAAAATTTGAATCCATTGCTATCAGTATAAAATATTCCATCATTTGAAATGTCAGTTTGAATTTACAATATGATTTCTTTTCCAAATTAATCAGAAATATCTATGGAATCTAAAAATGTATCAATAGAAAATATATCTTGATTTTCAAATCTTGTCATCCAGACTTTTAGCGTAGTTTTTTCAAAATATATTTATTTGATTATTTGACCAGAAAATTCTAATGCTTAGAGATAATCACCATAATCAGAGGCATCCCCATTAGGTCTAAATATATATGCTCCGCTACTTAAACTTGACTACTTTGATAAATAAACTTTATAATGTAGTTGAAATTTATCAAATATTTTTGTATCCTTTTACATATTAATAACTTTTGGGTCTAATTTTATAATTCTTGAATCATTCTCAAAATCAACCATTATTCGAATATAATGTACCAGTTTTTCATTATTTACTTTTCTAGACAAGTACAGAGTGCATCTCTGATTTATACAAATAATTTCGCCATAAATTGAATTTTCCAATTCATCCACTATTTTTATGTTCAAATTTGTGGGTATCAGCATTTTCAAATAATCTTTTTAACCATTATTATTTATTTTTGTATCAATAATTGTAACAATAACAGTTTTGTTTTGGCTAAGAGGATCAAATAAGGAATCGCAGCTATCTGATTCATTAAAATAACATTAAGCATGTGTTATGGCTGATGTATTTGATAAATGATTCAGAAATGAACTAATTTGATTTTCCATTTTTAAATGCGCTTAATGAATTAATTTAATGTAATCATCATTCACATATTATTTTGCAGTGCCTGTGATTGCATCATGATGTTAGGCTGTACCCAAAGCTTCAGATAAATCTTAAATAGCTGTTTCATCAAAAATACTTTGTATATTATTCATTTTTAATAATGAATAAAATCGTTTCACTTACTAAAAATAACGACCTATTCTTTTGACATACCCCTTAAAAGCAGGTCTGCTAGTGAAGAATCCAGACCAATATTCATAAGGTTGATCAGAATAAGGAAAAAAATCTTCCTCTTGAAAAGGATATGAAATATTTTATTAATTCAAAGCTTAGATATATTGTTTTGGAGTTCCATATTCGATTATCATATTATATTTTTCTGTATTATTATTGATCCAATTAATAACCAGATCCATTTATTCAAAATATCTAGAAGCATTCGACCATTCAAAGTCCATTCCCAGAGTATGAGCCTATATTTTACCTCTGTAAGATTAATATTATTCTTTAAAATATTAATCAAGTCCTTCAGATTTTTATTCCACATTTTAAATAGAAACATAATTTCTCTTAGGATTGGAAATATCAAAATCGAATCCTCTAGGGGATGAATAATATCCATAATAATTAACATGTGTAAAAATAGAGTTTTCTTAATCAGGATGAATTACAAACTCTAATTCTTTGTTTTTTTCTCTTTTTAATCGATCTTCCTGATCAATTCTTCCGAAAAACCAAGCATTAAAACCCATCATATTAGAAAAGAGTGCCTGAGTATTAGAATGCCCAAATGTATCAATTTACCATCCAATAGTGGGTATATAGTTAAAATTTTCTAAAAGAAATTTATGTCCTAATGTCATTTAGTCAATAATATCTTCATAATAAGTTGTTGCTTCATCATTCATGCACCATCCTCCACTCAAAAATTCTAGTTACTCATTTAATATGAGTTGTTTCACATTATCTTTCATTGTGTTATTCTATTCATTCCACCACCTATTCTATATTATAGATTTACATTTTAAAAAATGCTACTTCAACTTATGAAAAATACTTTGTCTTATCTTTGATTAGTTCTTCCATGTATGAATTAATTATTTATTTGACTCCATGATAATCATTATAATATTCATTCATAGTTTTAATCCATCCAACATCATCATGTGAATGAGGAAACAAATAAACCCTATGTAAATCAGATCTTATTTAGCTTACTTACCCTAGATAATTGCACTATGTATTTAATATAAGTATTAAAATTAATAACATAATAAATTTAATTCTCTACATCCTTATATTTTTTACATTTTCAGCTAAGACATTAATGAATAACTTATATTTTATTTTGATTGTCAAGCTACAAATTATTTTCAGTTAAAAGAATACATATAAATATCCCCAATCATAAGTATGAGTATGTCCTAATTTGCTTTGAGTTTTTCGAGGTTTTTTGAAAGTAATATCTCACTAAGACTGAGAACAAAAGCAATGATTTAATACTTATTTTTTAATTTTGTAAGACATTATCAATCATTTAATGTATTAACCAATATTGCAAAATTAAGAATTAATTATTGGACCCCCTGAAATTCCTATTTCAAGTAAAGCATTAAGCCAATTTAGTTGAATATATGGCATAATAGCCTTAGTGTTAACCTTTGATTTAAAGCCAAGATAAAAGGAAATTTTTGGTTCTTTTGATGCTAATTTGCTTTTGCTAAACAGGCTTAGAACTTGCAATTACATTAGTTTCTGCTTATTCTTAAAACATCAAAGATTTGAAGCTATCTTTTGCCATACCAATGTTTATTTTTCTAATAATAGCTTAGTTACTATTATTGTAGATAATAAAATCAAAACCATAAATTAGGAATGTAATAAACTATAAATAATTAGACTTTATTCAAAGAAGTTNCATTTAATATATACTTAAGATTCTTTATTTCATGAATTTCAGAATATCCCTTAAGGTTCCGTTTTTCACAGTGGTAAATTTTTAAAGTTATCCTCCAAAAAATTTTAGTGTTAATTATACTCAAATCAGCCCAATATTCTCAACCATCATACAATCTCCATTGTAATCTATAATTGGTTATGGTCTTTTAATGAATGGTCATATGAACAAATAAGATCAGTATTAATATACCTATAAAAAAAATCCATAGATAAGAAAACTTTAACTTTGAAGCTTCTTGAAAATAATCCTGTAAGATTTAAACAAAAATAAAAAATTTCTCAAAGAAACCTTTATATTATACTTATTTAATTGCTTAGAAATAAATAGGATGAGAATTAAACCAGCTTGATTTATCCATTTATCAACTAGTTTATTCAATATACAATCTATTCTGTTCCCGGCGGTAAATGTAATCATTTGCATTTGAATTAAGCTTAATCGTTAAAGACCTTTGGTTTTATTATAAAGAATCACTCTATAGTTCATTCAAAAAGGTCTAACCAAAAATTTCGTATTCAATTCTTTGATTTTTATTATCCATTTTTCTAAACTTGCTTGATTTATAACTTTAAATGGATGGTAGAAATAATAGATTTTTTTCATCATCCAATTTGAGGAATAGGCTAAATTTCTTATACGTTTGCCACTTTTGAAAGACCCAATTGCACTAAAGTCTTTTTTAATAAACAATCTATCTTTCTGAGTTCTTTACACTAGAGCTAGACTTACTATCTGTCCAGCTAAGACCACTCTCGTCTGCCCTCTATCCTAATACACATTTTAAGTTAATAATAAAACGAAACTTCAGGTTACTTCCACACCTTCGCCTGAATTTAGAGGTGATAGTAAAACTTGCCCATAACATCGATCCATTAGTTAGTTTTATTATATCTCTTTGGCCCTCTGTGTTTGCCTACATAAATGAACCCATCTGCTTATTATCTTTAATCACTGCTTTTTGGATTGCGTACTGTTCCCAAATATTCCATCTACCATTACCATTCACAAATAATAGAATTTGGTAAGTCATAGTTCTATCTATCATCAAATTGGAAATAGAATTCTTATTTCTGTTGACTCCATTAATTAGAATTAGGTTCCTTCTTGGAGGCTCCTTGGTCTCATATATTATTATTCCAGTCAAAGTAATTTATGTAATAAATATAAACTTGTTCTATTACTCTTTTCTATCCTAATTGTGCAAATTGATAATTCTGATTAAATCTAAAATCATTCTCAAATTAAAAGATGGAAAATTGTTTTTGATAACCCAGCGAATGATTTCAATTACTTGGTGGATAGTAACGAGAGAAGAGCCTATATTTAAATGCTTTCCAAATCCTGGATGATGTTATTTTCTATTCTAAGGATTCCAATTATTCCTAGGTTCATTCTTTTCGTTTCTATTCTTCAGCATTCAACCAACCTCCTCTTTATGAATCCCATATCTAGGAAGAATTGGGACTATTCTCCTTTGCATTTGCAGTCAGCCTCCTGAATTTATTTATAAACTTAGTAATATGGCTTTTTTTTGCCGGATAGCCTAGCGCCTCTTTTCATGCTTCTTGAACATGTAATTATGAAGTTATGCCGAAAACAATAAAAACATTTAGTTGCTCCTTCTAGATAAAGTTTGCTAAATACATACATTTCTAACAATAGATTGAAAAATAATTTATCTTCTAAAAAAACTGAAAATTGAGATAATAGAGCACAATTCTGGGCATATTAGAATAAATTATGTTAACTTTGAAACTAAAAGTGCAACCAAATTATTATTCGATTTAACTGATTTTTATCTCTTATCCACATCATTCATCTGCAAATGGTCTCGCATATTTTTTTGTAATTCAGAAGTTTATGGGCATTTTTGATTTATATCAATAATAGTGATTTTACTTATAAATCTTAATGTTGAAAGGGAATATAATTTATGTATACAGTTTAGTAATACATGACTTAGGAGCTTGAAAAAACATTAAATTCATTATCATAACATTTATTTCAAGGGAAGCATGATATTTTTCATTCTTTAAGGTGATAGTAAAGATTAAATAGTTGGAACTTTGAAATTATTAAATAAACACTGAGGGATGATAATTAAAATAGAGTAAGATTGATTATGATGAGATTGCATATGTTTCTAGAATCTTTTCAATTACGTATTGTTTAGCAGAACCTTTTTCTCTCTCTAAGGACATAGATATTCAAATTTGAACGTAACCATAAAAATATTACCCTCAAAGGTGATATGGTAAAAAACTAATTTTAGGAGTGCTACCTATAGAACGAAACATTAAAGGATTGAAAAATCTTAATTGAACCTTTCCAAAAATAAGTAATAATGAATTTGTATTTAGTCGTTCATGAATTATTATATAGTGTTATTTTACCTATTAACTCATATTAACACTCTAAGAAGAAATGAATCTAATATTTTTCGTTAGTATCTGATTTAATCACAAAAGGAGGCAAGAATAAAATGGAAGCATAATTTTTTACATTTAGTTCAAATATTATTTTATTTTATATATTGATTTATATTTGTACATTTGGTGCTTGAATATAAGGATGATATAAAGAGTATATCGAAAAACTCCTCAAAGAAATTTCAGATCAAGAGATTAATAGACGATGTTTAAATCCTGGATATGCAGAGGATGCAGTATCAATAGCAGTAGTTAGTTCGTTCCTTTCATAAACTTTTTCATCATCATCTAATTCCATCTATCATATTTAGTCATTTAAAGTATACATTTCCTTCAACTTTTGTTATTCTAATTAACACAATCATGATGGATCAATATATCTGATGAAACATAAATTGCATCCACTACTTATGAGAATCCTTTCTATTCATCATCAATAGTATCTTCTTGGCCGTCAGCTACTAAAATAAAATTTACTCGCCTGAATAATTTCCTTCTTAATCTTGTTCATTAATTTAGTTCTCCTCAGTCCTTAATGGAGTTTAGTAGGCTCCTCTGTTATTTATATATATTCCCAAGTAAGGTTCATATATAATTTAAGTTAATTTCCACATCCATAGTCTCTTAGAAATTTTTCAAGACCCTTCTAAAAATAAAGAGAGGTATCAGATCCATTTTCTCATCTCCCCTTAAGGGAGTTTTGTGCATAAAGTCATTAAGTAACTCTCTATATTCTAAATGTCTTTCAACTCTGCTTCAACTTCACTCCTCTTCTTGATGACAGTACCTTTCCTAATTAATCATCATTTTGTGGATTTAGTATTAGCTCCTCGTTGATTCCGGAATTCGATAGAATTTCCTTTAATGATAAGTTTTGTTAAATCAAGTTTCATAGACAGAATAATTGTTTTCTTTAAATTTGTAATTGTTAAAATAAATAAAAGTTCACAAATATTTGGATTCGACAAACACAAGTTTTATATATTAAAGCGCATTGATTATACAGAATCGAAATTATTTATACAAAGAAAATTTGTAAATACTTACTTACTAATAAAACAAACGAGTTTTAAATCTAAATACTCCTTTTTTTTTGTTTTTCACATCTCATGAAAAAAAACTCAAAGTTCAATTTTCTTGTATCACCGAACAGCAAGATACCATAAATTATTTTCACATTAAATTTCAGTCAGATTCCATTATTGTTTACTCATTCTTCTATTGGATGATTAAAGAATAACAAAAGGTGACTTGAAAAAATTTAGTATTTTTTATGAAGAGTTCTTTTTCTTACATTTTTATATGCATTCCATTTTTCTTAATTATTACGATTTTTTTTTGGTCATCAAATAATAAATTCCGGCAGGAATTAAATTCATTCAAAAACCCATCAAGTTCAATTAATGATTGTTTCACTTATTTACCATTTTGTCTCTTACCTTTATGATCATAAACCATCAAGACATTCCAAAAAAAAATATTTTAGGAAAGGTTTGAATAGTAGGTTAAATTTTTATAAATTTATTTTTCCAATTTGAATTAAATTATGATAATTTATTAAGATTTCATAGATTTTGAGTGTTAAAATAATAATTGTATAAATGAGAAAATTTAATGATCACAATGGTTAGTTTGAATGTGCTGCTAAATTATTTTTATCAGCATTACTAGAAATAAAAATTTGAATTGGTTAATTTTAATTGTATATGATTATTAATGTTTAATAAAATGTAAAGAATGAATATCAAATAAATGATATTTAATAAATTTCACATTCCTATATTTCTGGTTTATTTTACCCAAATAAATAATGATCTTCACTTTAATCAAATTGATATGAATGACCTAACTTACTCTAACCATCACTGAAATTACCACTTATGCAAAAATCATATCCACCTCCAAATGTAGGTCCAACACCAGAATAAGAATAAATTGCATATTACTTTCTATCTTACTTCAAAGGATAAATTTAATTATGTGTTTATGAAAATATAAAGGATGATAGTGTATCATCTTGCACATAAGTATTTAGATTAGATACCCACTTACAAGGAGAATAAGCTCCAAAGATATAATCACGTTTTGATTGAAAAATCATGAGTAGATTGTCTTTGTTATTGACTTCTTTCCAAAATGATTATACTTTTAATCCATTTTTTGTACTAAATATTAAACTTGAATTTTTAATTGATTTCTTTGATTTCTCTTATAACACATAAAAAACTTTAATCCAATAATCATCTCTAAGCAATTTTGGTTTTATATCTAAAAAAATAGAAGTTTTGATTCTTAAATCTAACTCATTTTGAATTTTATTTAAATTTAAATCGGATTAAGTTATTTTGTCATTTAATGATTTAATTTAATTCTCATGAATGGCCTATAAATTATTTAACGATAATTGCAAATTAGCATTATTAGTTATTTCCAATTCTAGCTTTTCATTTAAAAATTACTCTTCTTCTATTTTCATTTTAAGTTTAGATTCAGTATTTTTTACAAATACTTCAAACTCCTCAATAATCTTATTTTACGTTGATATCTTCAATTTATAGTCGTTCTCGATGGACTCCAAATATTGGTTTCCTAATAAATTGAAAACTATTAATACTCTCTAGTTATAATTTTTCATA